ACGACAGTCTCCAATCTGCGACAGTAAAATATGGTCACGAGTCCCACGGGTCTCGGACCCGAGAATGACGCCCTGACAAGGGCTAGCAGCAATTGTAAACGACAGACTCGTCCTCTCGTCAGAGAGAGCGCCCCACATCAACAATAAAAATCTGATCATAAGCTCCAGATGGGTGCTTTATTCCGAGACAGACTGGCCGACTGACCGAAGGTCGTTAACATCAGATTCAGACTCAATTTAATCACGTGAGAGATACTCGTCAGCCGGTAAGAACGTTAGCAGAGGACATTGTTAGGATCCGTAACCAGGAAACGACTAGTGAAGGCATAAAAGGTAAAGAAAGGTAAAGCTACCCTTGTAACAGGGCGTGAAGGCCCATGGGGTCGTGAGACGTCGAGGGTCCCACATTTTGTCTAGACAGTCGGCTCACAGATGGCGGTAAGGTTGTCAGCCTTACGCATCGGCCGCCCTTTACCCCTCCAGGAAGATTCAGGCATAGGAGACTTTGTGTGTGCTGTAGTGACAGTGATCTGTAGAGTGTATAAACCAGTGCGGATCTTACATTTACTTCTAGCTACGAGGTGCCTGTATAAGTGTTCAATAAATCCAAACCCAGTCCTATAGTCACTCATACACGTGACAATAAATAATAAATTTTTATTGTGGCTTATAGACCCGTTGCCAGGCAACGGCCGCGAAACAAACAATGAAACGACTCCCGTTGCTAGGCGACACATTCCTAACATGCGTCAAACGACTGGATGGACGCTCAGCACCAATGGCTGCGCACGCAACAGTGGACACAGGAACAGAGGAATGGTGTTTTCTGTGTTGCCCGTGCCTAGATGGTGTAAGCAGAACAATTAGTAGAGCGAGTTCAATCGAGTTGAGTTGAGTGAAGTGAAGTGAAAAGAGAGTTGGTTGGTGAGTGTGTGAGTGCAGCTGCGGTTCCTTTCTTGTGAGCCGCTGGTATTAGGGGCTAGTAGCTGAGGCAGGGTGATAGTGCGGAAACCCAGACTGGGGAACGTCTGCGGTTGGAAGCCGTTACCAGGCAGCGACTGGTGAAGACACAGCAGACAGAGAAGACTTAGTGCGTGCATTAGCGTTAGTGTTGGTGTTACTTACTGTTACCCTCTATAAGTGGCCAATAAAATCCATTCACCAATCCAAACCCCGTCTACAGTCACACACACACGTGACAGTAAAAGGTAAGGTAAAGTTGTCCTTGTGCTTAACTAATTAAGCATTACACCATGAAGACGTATGGGGGAGTGGATGTATAGAACCATGTATTCTTGACTTCGGCACTAGTTGGAAGTTAGTTGTCAGCTTCACGCCCCGGTCGCTTTACTCCCGGGGGAAGAACCCCCGGTAACCATTGGATAGGAGGCTGGGTGGGCCCCAGAGCCGGTTTGGACGTGGAGAAGTGAATATTTTGTGCCTACCGGGACTCGACTTCCGACCCCTTGGTTGTCCAGCCCGTAGCCAGTCGCTATACTAACTGCGCTGTCCCGGGTTTATACACGTGACAGTACTTTATTTTTATATATCTCTTAATATTCTTGCAATTAATACAAGAAGCAGTGGCGGACTCCTGTGAACGCGGCAACGAACCTTCGGGCTCCATAAAATACTGGTAATGTCTTGAGCAGCTGAGCAAGCGTTAGCTTCTCAAGAAGGATCCACCTCCATGCAGTTTGTTAGGAAGTTATAGTATCCATGGCTTGTTTTGAGGTGAGATGCTGGGCATTTCGGCCCAGAAGGTAGCGTTTCGGGTTTGTATTCGGGAAGTGTTGGGATCGGATCTCGACCGTGACACCGACTCTCTTAATTAAGGTTTTGTGACGTTATTTAATCCCCCAGCTGGGGATAGTGATTTAAGTTAGGCTACGGCCCATTCCATTCCATATGATCCGCTGTTTTCCAAACATCTGACGCCGCGAAGTCTGTTCTGAAAGCGTAGATAAGCAAACTGCAAACGAATAGAACAGATATGAAGAAGGGCAGTGTCGAGTGACGCAGCGGCTCTCAGCCTGCGAGACCGCGGCCCGGTTAAGCCGTAGCCCGACGAGCCCGACGGTGACACTGGATCCTTGCGTGGGAACAAGTGAAGTTACGCAGAGCCAACCGGCTGCAGCCAGCCAGCGACAAGCTAAGGTTGGTGCACAACACATCTCCCGTATCGCTACTACACGCCTTGTCTGTGTAAGGTTACGAATGGCCAGCATGTGCAGAAACATGCATCCGCAGCATAAACTGAACTAGTTTACGCGTATATCTGTCAGCAAATAAATTGTGCTTAACTAACGCCATGAAGGCGTATGGGGGAGTGGGTAGTCGGGGAGAGTGCAGATCCACATTTTCTTGACCTCGACACTAGCTTAACGTGAGTGGTCAGCTTCACGCCCCTGTAGCTTTACCCAAGGTACTCATTGCATAGGAGGTTGGGCGGACCCCGGAGCCGGTCTGGACGACGTGGAGAAGGGCAAATTCTTGACCTTACCGGGACTCGAAGTACGACCTCTTGGTCGTCCAGCCCGTAGTTAGTCGCTATACCGACTGCGCTATCCCGGCTCACTATACTCGTATTTTAATGTCAGGGCTTCCAAAAGCAAAAGTATTACCTCACCACCTTCCATACTCTTCTGTAGTCTATTCACCCTCGTCTGACTTCGTATACAAGTCTTGTAACCTAACGTTACAGCTCTTGAGGTTGACTCCAGAATCTTCTATAAAAAAGAGGTTCTTAAATATTTGTATTTAAATTGTAGTAGCATCAGAATTTTTCCAGAGACGTGGGACTTCAAAGCCAATTTAAGGAAAGATTCAGATCATTTCAGAATTCCTGTCACGTTTAAATAGCGGAGTGTTTAGTGGAGAATTCCTACTGCAATGTTCAGGATGATTTTAGAGCAAGTGAGAATTTTGTTCATTCTGTCAGATCTGACTTTTACGAAACGTGAAACTTCATAGACAGTTTCAGAGAAGCCTGCCTGTGTCCAGTCCATTTCAGACAGTCACATCCTCTTCTTATGTTACACGAACTGAACTACAGCAGACCCTCGCTATTTTGGGTCGAAACATGAAACCTGCCGCTCAGTTGAGTACAAACCTTAAAAGAAACATTGCATTTAAGGAGGCAGATGAGTCACTTGCCTGTTCAAATAAACGCGACAGTTTATTCAAACCTGCATTACTACATCCAAAATCCAAGTACAACTATTAATGAATAAATGTATTGACTTTTTATAATTTTTAAGTAAAGTCTCTACAGTGATAATTTTGTATTTATTTCCATCAGCGCTACCTTATGCCATTAAATTTCCCACTTATTTGTGTTCTAAGTTTCCTTGTCTTTAGGGGCTATTTGTTGCTTCGCTAACCCGGGTTATCGCTTAATCCGGGTGACTTCCCCATCCCAATTACTCCGGATTATCGAGGGTTTACTGTATTGGTACTTACTCACTCACTCACTTACTTATGCATGGGGCTGAGCCCTTATTGAGGAGCAGCCAATTCTGCAGCCACTCAAGAATTTCCCAGCATTTTATGGAACCCGAAGGTTCATTACTGTGTTCACAAGAGCCCTCTATTGGTCCCTATCCTGAGCCAGATCAATCCAATCCATCCTGTCTAAGATCCATTTTAATATTGCCCACCCACCAACACCTTGGTCTTCCCAGTGGTCTCTTTCCTTCTGGCTTTCTCACCAATATCCTATATGCATTCCTCTTCTCCCCCATTCATGCTATTTGTCCTGACCACCTCATACTCCTTGACTTGATCATTCTAATTATACTTGGAGAAGAGTACAAATTATGACACCTCATGTCAGTTTTCTTTAGCCTAGGTCGTTTATCCAGACCCAGAGGATCTGTGCAGGTCTGAAGCTTTGTGTTCATTTTCGTAACAGAATAATTTTTACGGTGAGTTGTTAGCCCCATGCCCAACCCCCAAGCTGGAGGACCACCCCTTGTTGGCTGTCGGCAACTGCTTAGTCGATATATTTGCAGCTTCCCTCCATACCTGGAGGGCGTCTCCTCCATCCACAACCTGAGGACGTGCCATGCCATGGCAACAAGGGACCCACCTACTGATATCATTAAAAAATCAAATAAATATGTATTCTGCCCATGAACTGTTTAATTATGCTTACCTCGCCATACAAGTCTAAATGAACTGTGACTTGAATGTGGCTACACACACATTCTGATAATTTTCTCCAATTTCTTGATGTCCTCTTTCTTCCTGTCTCTGCCATTCATTCATCTTCTTAACGTTTCACGTTTGGCAGTATACACTGCCACACAGGTGACAGTTATTGCCACTTTTCAAGAGGTACCTAGTTCAAATCCCCAACCAGTTACAGGCAAGCCTGAACCCACACAAACTGAAACGTACAAACGTTGTTGAGGATTTCTGATTCACAGCCATACTGACCCATAATAAATTCTGGCTTACAGTGGTCAATAAATGAAATTTCCTGTGAATCCCATTAACCACTTCACAAGCTCTGTTGAAATATGCATCTTCATGTTTCATGGCCTAGCAATATGATGAAGAAAATACTACCTGCCATTACTCATCTTAGTGTGTTCAGTGTAGAATTACTATTTTTCTGAAAATACTTTTAATATTTGATATTAATTTCTCATATATTTCCTTTTTGTTTGCAATTTTGATGTTTTCCAAAAAATCATGGGGTGGCAGATGTACGCCCTTCTGACCTAGTAGCACTCATGACCACATAATACTTAAGAAATACAAATTATGAAACTCTTCATTATGTAATTTTCTCCAGAATCCTGCTACTTCCTTCCTTTCATCCCCCAGACACTTTGTTTTGGGGGTAAGACACTGTACTGCCTACATATAACACGTGCACATTGCGTTAACATTTGCTACATCCTAGGAAAACATGAAATGAGGGCTCACTGTGACTGCACGGTTACAGCGAGAAGAGGCGACCACAGAAGGTGATTAAGTAATAACTAGAACCATTAAAATTAAAGGCTTTATTTTGGTGTGTGTAAATACAAAAAGATATGAAGTTCAGTTGAGTTTGATCTTCCTCTTCTTTGGCTTGATGGGCAGGGGACCTGGACTCCTGAATACTGTGCTGGAAAGGAAAACAAACCGTGTAAAGCGCCAGTGAGGAATTCTGAAGCTTCCGACATCTCAGATGTTCTCTTCATTCAGAGAGCAAGACAGCCTTGTGGCAAGTGGAAATCACATGGCCTAACGCTGTGCCCAAAACATCTCTGAGGTTGTGTTATCAGAGTATGACAGAGAAAGTTATGTCTTCACTAGGAACTTGCTAGATTCAATTTTCAACCTAAAATGGGAACCAAAATCACCATACTGGAGATGTTATGGAAAACACAGGGATTTCTTCCATAAGGACGCCTGCCTTCTCAAGGTGTGATGCCCCCTCACAGGTGTTTTAGACAGACCTTACGCAAAGAACTGTGCTGACTGACTCAATACAAATGGTTCTATAATTGCTGCAAATGTAACAGCGCAGGAAGAAAACTCTAATCATCAGACATGTCCCACAGCACAAGCCTAAATGTATGTTCCTAGTACTGGAAGGACAGGCAGCAGTCTGCATCACGTAGTTTTGAGACCTTAGTGAATTTTACTGCTATGCTACTAGCCTTACATTTATTTGTAACACAGGCTGCAGCTGCAAAACCATCTAAATATTACTATTAGTTGTAGCTGTAGTACATGCAGTTACAGCAAATCATACAGAGTTATGAGCTTTCTGAACACGCTGCATTCAGGTGTGATACTTACTGGCATGTTGTGCAGATTGGGCTGAACTTGCAGAAAACTGCAAAATAAACAAATAATAACACAAATAAACAACAGTACCATCTCCACAACTCAGAACATTTAATCGTGCCAACTCTCCCTCAGTCTGGGGCATATGGTAGCATTGTTGGTTGAGTCACTATGCTACAAGCCAGAAGGTCATGAGTTTGATTCTTGATGCCACTGGATTTTTCAATTGACTTAATCCTTCCAGCTGCACTATGGCCCTGGGGTCAACTCAGCCTCTAACAGAAATGAGTACCAGGAATATTCCTGGGGGTAAAGGGCGGCCAGAACGCAAGGCTGACAATCTCACCGTCATCTGTGAGCCCACTGTCTCACAACCCTCTGGGCCTCCATGGCCTGTTACAGGGACAACTTAACCTTTTCTTCTTATACCTCCCTCAACCCATACAGAAAGCCAGTCAGTATCCAATTCCCTCAGTACACACTAGTTACGCTGGTCGCAGTCCTCCCATGTCTGTAATTACTAACACAGAGAAACATGTTGGGTTCGAGCCATTCACAGATGTGACTATGAACTGTACTGTAATCTGGCATGTGACGTCATGAACTCTGACAGAAGCCTGGTGGACATACAGTTCCGCATACATTCTTAACCTCAGCATTAGACGCAGGCGAGTGGTCAGCTTCATGCTCTGGTCAATTACCCTTGGAGAAAGAACCCCCACTACTCACTCACTGGTCAGCACCATGGGTGGGCCCCAGAGCTTGTGTAGATGCTGTTGAGAAGATAAAAAGAAAAAGATCTCTTGCTTGTGCTAGGAATTGAACCACATCTGTCCAGCCCAGAGCCTAGTCACTTCGCTATATTGACCTATTCCAGCTCCTTTTGCAAATGTTGTAATGTTAAATTACTTGGAACTGTAGCAACCAATTAAAATTGCATTAAGAACAAATGTAATTCATGGAATGTTTGGTAAAAATCAGTTCAGAATCTTATATATTTCCACCTACTAAATAAAAATGTAAAGATTAAACTGTAAAGAATTACTGTTTTACTTACTGTTCTGTATGGGTGTGAAACTTGTTCTCTCACATTAAGGAAAGAAAACACACTAAGAACATTTGAGAACAGCACAATGAGGAGAATATCTGGACCTAACACAGAGGAAATGATAGGAGAATGGAGAAAATGTATAACAAGGAGCTTCATAATTTGTACTCTTCACTACATGTTAATAATAATAATAATAATAATAATAATAATAATAATAATAACAATAATAACAACAACAACAACAATATGTGGACACTACAGTCCATGACAAACATTGCTCTCTGTTTTATGGTTTCTTAATCATACACACAATCAGTAGGACTAAGTTGGTGGGGGATCAGCCGATCGCAAGGCTGCTACTTACACAGGATAACACAAACACAGAATAAACACAGACAAGCATCCATGCCTCAAGTGGGATTTGAACTCATGGCCCAAGTGTTTGAGCAGGTGAAGACAGTTCATGCCTTTGGACCACACAGCAACTGTGACTGGCCTTCATCACATATTCGGGTGAACACGTCAAGGGGACTGCATAGGTGAGCACGTTGCACACATGGGTAACATAAGAAATGGACAAACATTTTAGCTGGAAACCCTGAGGTGCCTGCCTCCATAGCAGAGAATACTTACTGGACAAGCAGACTGAACAGACGAACCCAATATCGATGAGCTCTCGATGACAGAAGCAGGCAGCTCGGTAGTCGACTTTAACTGGTGGTGGCAGGACCAGCTTCTTCCTGATTGGTGGCTCAGGTAGGAACACCCACTGTAATATTATTTGATAGCACTAAATTTTATTGTATGTTTCTTATATGAACTCATGGCAGGCACTTAGCAATAATTTCACCACTGACAATGAGACATCTTTCATTCACCTCAGACGTAACTTGTCAGATAGCACAATCCCAATTTAATGAAATCTCATACTTGTATGTACAGAAACACTGGAGAACAGTGCACTGAACCCAATGCTAAGGATATATTAATATCCATTCCATTCTATTTCCTCTAGTAAGGATAGGGTTTCTCTGGAATCAGACAGCTTATAACAAATATGTTCAATTTAAACCACAAATTAAATGATCACAGATGACAATGAGCTTAACTTTTGAACTATATGACATGAGAGAATCCCTGACTTTGCCTGGGGCTGTAAGCAATGCAAAGAGTTAAAACTACATTTTCTTATAATCAGTGCCTTTGCACTTGTCAGCAAACTATCAGAAGACACATCTGCTGGTTCACTGTACATTTTGACTATGAGGCTAAAGGCAAGCTGAGAATACAGGCAAACGTGTTCTTAAAAAAAAGTGCTGGTTGTCCTTAATTAAATATTCTCCATACTGAAAATTTTTGACTTAAAAGTGGTACACATTAATGACATCTAGGTACTAATTCCGAAGGTTTTGAATATGAAACTGAAGTTTGGGTTTAGAAGCAATTCCTCAACAGGAAAGGCAACGTTTAAACTTCTAAATGATATTTTACAGGTCTTAATTAATAAGGAACTTGTGGGAGGTATCTTTTGTGACCTCGAGAAAGCCTTTGATTACGTTAATCACGACTTATTAATGAAGAAACTGAAATTCTAAGGAAATGTAGGCAATGCATATGCTCTAATCAAATCATATCTCAGTGACAGGAATCAGTGGGTCCTCATTGCTGATAAATTAACACAATCTTATGCTTCTTCAGAACAGGGGAAGATTAAACATGGAGTGCCCCAGGGATCTGTGCTTGGACCAATGCATTTTCTTTTGTACATAAATGACCTACCTAAAGTAGTTAATTCAAACTCTAAGCCAGTCATGTTTGCTGATGATACCAGCATTATTGTTAGTAATCCTAATTTAGTAACTTTTAAAAAAAATATAATTATTTTCTCTTTCAGACAGTTGAATGAATGGTTTAATATCAATTTGTTGTCACTAAATTATAACAAATCTTAGTATATACAATTTGGAACCACTAATAACCAAACAATTCAATTAGATACCAGTTATAATAATAAATATATTATTAACAATACAAATCCGTCTTCCTTCGCTTGGAAGCTGGGATCATGGGTTCGAATCCCACTTAGGGCATGGATGTTTGTGTGCATTTTTCTGTGTTTGTCTACAGGTAGAGGCCTTGCGACGAGCTGATCATTCGCCCAAGGAGTCCTACAGTATGTCTAAGATCTAGTAAAACCGAAGTGAACGGAGAAGTTCATGGAGGTAGGCCTAGGCCCACTGGGGCTGTAGTGCCAAGAAAAAAAAACCCAATACAAATACTCGGTTTCTGGGTATTACTGTTGACAGCTCCTTGTCACGGAAGCATCATATTGATGGATTTATGGTTAAATTAAGCAAAGCATGTTATGCTATTAGATATTTAAGACCCTTTGTGTCCCATGAATCACTAAGGATGAATTACTATTCTTATTTTCATGCAGTTATATCATAGGGTATAATCTTCTGGGGGAATTCCCCTTAGAGTATTAATATATTTAAACTACAAAAAAAGACCATAAGAATTATTACAAATTCCAGAAACAGGGATTCCTGTAGGGAGTTGTTTAAGAAATTAGATATATTACCATTTTATTCTCAGTATATATGTATTTTCATTACTAATTTTTGTTTTATTTAAAACAAATTCAGAGTTATATGATATCAACACCAGAGGTAAAAATAATTTTTACCCTTCACAACCAAGGTTGTCTATCTATAAAAATTGTGTTTATTATATAGGTATAAAGGCATTTAATCACTTACCTCCTTGCATAAAAAAATTGTCTGATAATAAGAATCAATTTAAAAACACTCTAAAAAACTACATTATATTGAATTCTTTTTATTCACTGAAGGTTTTTTTTATTGTAATTACAAATTTTAATGTGAATTTTTAAGGTTTTATGTATCATAGATGCGGTAGCGTCACAAGTTGGTAGGTCGTGGGTTCAAATACCGATGAGGTCATTGTTTTTTTTTCAATTGACCTAATCCTTCCGGCCGCACTATGGCCCTGGGGTTCATTCAGCCTCTAACAGAAATGAGTACCAGGAATTAAATAAATAATTTTCCTGGGGAGTAAGGCGCAGCCGGCGCGTAAGGCTGACAACCTTACCGCCATCTTTGAGCCGATTGTCTACATAATGTGGGACCCTCAACATCTCACAACCCTATGGGCCTTCATGGCCTGTTACAGGGATAGCTTTACTTTACCTTTTAGGTGCTTTATTTTCGCATAAATATGTCATCATCTACCCTTTGGTATGATGATTTTTCACAATATTAAATTTAAGATGTTGTTATGTTTAATGTTAAAATAGGAAGATAACGGTTTGGTTTATTGTTTGATCTGACCTATGCTTATTTTCATAGCATGTGTATTTTAGTTACTTGTCTGTGACTGGTTCTATATCCTCAGGTGTATTTGTAGCCTAGATTGGATTGATGGAATTTTACAATGGAATAAATAAATAAAAGGCAAAAGCACAAGAGGTAGATCAGACTGAAGCAGGGGGAGACAAAGTTTGGAGGAAACTGAGGAGAGGCCTGGCTGCCAGTCGACTTGGAAACTTGAAGGAAGAAAGAGAAAAGTATTTCTGGTACAATGAACTGTTTCTTCAAGAAATTCCATGATGTCCAGTTTTAGGTACACGGAAAACGGGGGTTACTACTGCCCAGGATGCATCACAATAAAATTCTTCCAAAACTTTTAATGGGATCCATAATACAAAATTTAACCAAAATTTGTTGGGCAGTAATGAAGCTGAAACAAGTGAAGGGCAGAAATGATTCATTTACACATCTTGCGAATGGAAAGCTACCACAAAACAAAACAGCGGTAACATACCAGCAGGTACTGTAGCAGCCCTTGAAGCTGTGGAATGCGAAGATACAGCCCGCCAGTAATGTCACACCCTTGCTGCAAGAGACTCATGTCTTGCTCCATGCTGCACACATCAAGGGTCACATTCTGTGCAATAAAAAGCAAAACCATTCACACAGAATTACTAAAATATATCATGCCACCATTATGTTCTTGTTGCACAGCCACCAGCTGCCATATTGGTACAGCCAGGAACAAGAAGTTACAAAGTACCAACATTTGGGGATATCCAGTGACATCATGTATATACCAACGTTCCATGATAACTGGTGGTCTAGTATATTCCTGTGTACGCATTACTTTCAACAGTAACATCCTGCTAACCTGTTTCTGAGCTGTGAAGAACACATTCATGTAGCTCATGTACTGGGACGCACTGTCTGCACTTCCTGTCACAACCAGGATTCGAGAGTTCATGTTTCGCCCTGAGGATAAATCCTGCTCCAACCTGAAGACATGAATATTCCAAACATAATGCAACTGCTTGAAATATATCTTCAAAATTCACTCTCCCTTCAAAATCATGGACCTATGGGAAATGATGCCACTGATTTTTCCTTTAACTTCCAAACTGTGGGTACCCACTCTATGAGACCATGATATGGATACTTCCTGGCCTGAGAACCTGGAATCTCTTATCCATCCACTCCAGGCCATCTTCCAATCACTTTCATGAGATTTTCATGTGTGTTCCTACGAATGGCCAACCTAATCTCACCTACTTGACTTAATGACACTAACAATATGGTTGAAAGACTATATATCATGATGCTGTGTAGTCTGGTAGATATTAACTACATTTTGAAAGAATGTGCTACATCCTTCTTCAGGGTAGAAGAGTAATAACAGAAGACAGCAACTGTCATATTCACCACCATGAATGAGAAACCCGCATCTCATCATAGAATTTTCTCAACCCTTCTGTCACTTCTTCCCTCTCAGGCCCATATAGTCTCCTCTGTTCTCTATGATCCTCCCTTAGGATGAGACACCAAGTATCAAACCCATGTAAAACAACAGGTAACATCATAAAAAATGTAAAGTTGTCCCTTTGCTTAATTAATTAAGCACCATGCCATGAAGACGTAGCAAGGAGTGGAAATATAGCTCCACCATTCTTGCCCTTGGAAGTAGATAAAGGCAAGTGGTTGGCTACATGGCCTGGCCGCTTTACCCCTGGTACCCATTGGCTAGGAGACTGGGTGGGCCCCAGAACTGGTCTGGATGCTGTGTAGTAGAGACAATCTCTTGCTCCTGCCAGGACTCAAACCCTGGCCAACCAGTCCATAAACCATTGCTATAATGACTGAGCTATCCAAGATGAATCTTGTGGTATTCAGGTCTTCAGATAGCAGAGACACAGAATATTTTGAACTGAATAGCAGCGAGCATTCTCATAATTTCTGAGTGATCATAACCCAATCTGTTAGTACGATCTAAAAGTTTGTGACCATGGTATACTAACATAATTACTGACTTTTCGACACTACCCATTGTCCTATTTTTTTATTTAAAAACGAGGTTTTGGAGACTGGGCTCTGTTCACTTTCCCCGGAGACAGGAACTAGGTTTATCAATTGGGCCCAACTGAGTAGGACATAATTTTCAAGTAAAATAGGAGGACTGATAATGTCCAATAAGTCAATTAATTGGTTTCTTAGCGCTGTACAGACACTTAACACATGTGTTCATAGTTCAGTGTAGTACCTGTGAATATAGCAAAGAGCCATGGCCAAGGCTCCGGCCAGTAAGGACTCGCATGCTGACCCCACAGGCTCACTCTTTGTGTCTCTCATTAGAAGCTGCTGCAAGCTCTGCCGAATAGTTTTCTCAACATGGGTAAATAATTCATACTGGCCATCCACCTGTCGAAGCATTGCTGCCTGCGTGCCGAAGGCTGCAGGGGGAGGTGGGAACAGAAATTCTCTGCAATTCATATATAACATAGAGTGCAAGTTGAGTGTTGGAAGTATCCAGTGCTTTTTCTGTTCAAGAAAACATACCAGAATCCAAATGTAAAGATGTGAATAAAAGATAGATTTATAATAAAGAGTTTAAATTTAAAACGAGGGCAGGCTGTGGAGAACGAGATCAGTTTTTGTCAGGCTGCTCAACACTCTAATATAATTAAACATGACTGAGTTTTGTAGCACAAAATTGAAATTAGAACTAGACTTCTAGGACGTCACATGTTTGAGCTCTTTCCTACATGCCACAAGCACCTGCAGCAGCACACAGGAGTAAAAAACAAACCTGAACTTAGAACAAACACATTTTTTCTTATTTCTGTATGCAAAAGGTATGGAAACTTGATTCTGGCATGTTCTGCTAGACAAAAAAGGCTCTGGAAGCATTACATATAACGGAAATTTCAATTTGTAGTATGTTATTTTCTGCAACATCAAGTAGATTAAGTTATATTAGGGAATGTGCAATGTAATAACAAGTCTGAATTATAATCTCTTCACTGAAACAGTAACAAACTGTAATAATGCTAACAAGAAGGCGGCTTGCAAAAAGATAAAATCACTGAAAATGATTTCTCTCATCCTCAGTCGGAAAATGCTGGGCACTTACGTGGATCTGCTGTGGCAGGCCAGCATGGCCAGTCTGTTTGCTGACTTCAACATTAGGTGCGAATTTGCAAATGCTATTACTGATTCGAGGCATTGCGTCAGGTTGTGTGTGCGCTCCCGCAACAGTCTCTGTGCTGGATTGGTGTCGAGCACAATGACAAGGAGGCTCGTCTCCACTTCTGAAACACAACATGGCATGAAAATAATTGACACATTGCATAACTAAGAACAATGATGTTTAAGAGAACGGATGATAAAATACCACAGCATCTCTGACATGATGGTGGTGCATGAGATGGCAGGTCATATGTATTAATGCTTACCGGTTTACAACTAGAGGCTTCATGACTTACATTCTATAGGCTACACCAACATATTTTTTATTCTATTCCATCACCACAAGAGGATGTATGGATATGCCATACCTTTGACTAAGCCTGATGATGGCTTAACGAGCTGAACCATGTTGTAAGACACGACAAACGTATGGTGTATGCATACTTCCTACTGGGGTGATGGGATAAAGAAAAGAAGCCATATATAGCACATTTAAACATACCTGCACTGCACTCAAAACATATTTATCACCAAATTAATGTATCAGGTAACTAGTTTTAAAGCACACATTTCACACACTTACTTCACCACCCATATAAATGAATACATAAAGGTCATTTTCATATACACTCAATCACAGTACACTAACATTTTGCAATCAGACACCCCATTACAGTAATATCCACATATTCAACATCTCCACTGATGTAGTCCAGTAAAAATTAAACAGCATTTCAGAGGAACATGTTATCTCCATCTTCAGGGTCAACAAGAAAGCCAAGCAAGAAACCAGCCAGAAGCACTCTGCTTGCTGCCTGCTTCATGCTGAGGTCTTGCTTGGCTTACTGAAAACCCTCAAGATGCAGGTAACATGTCCCTCTAAAATATCACTTGACTTACAATGGGCCACATGGCATCATATCCCAGAAGACAAAACTCCCCATAGCCACTGCAGTGAGAGCCTCAAATCCTACAAGTCTAAGATGTGGACTACAAGGAATTCTTTGAATGCTACTTAAAACTGTTTACTAACTAGTAAAGAAAACTCTAATTCTGCGGGCAAGATAGCTGTGTAGTTTTATCCTTGTGTGGCATATTCCTTTTTGGCAAACTTTAAACATAAGCTAAAAGTATTTTTACTATATCATCCATTCTGTACATTGTATGAATTTCTATTAGAGAGACAGTAGTAAGCATACAAAGTCATAAGTCATAAGACTAACAAAACTAGTATGATAGGCATTTTTCAATCAACTTGCATTTTGATTTATGTATTGTATCTGATTATTCATCTGGTTTTGATAGTGTGTTATATTTTAATTGTAGGTTTAACCATATTAAGAATAATTATTTATTGTTGACAAATTCCAATACTTTAGGCATCTGGGCAAAAGGATTTCAAGAATGATGTATTTAATCATGTGTCTTCTTCAAGTGTTACTGTTGTAGCAATTATGAATGCTAAATAAAATGAATGAATGACTGAACTGTAAGATATCCACTGGCGTAAGTTCATGTTTGTCTCATAATCATTACTTGAACTTCAGAGGTCGTATGAAACATTAATATGTATTCAAATATCAATGCTATCAATTGACCTCAATATGAATAGTTAAGTTCCCTAAATATACCCTGTAGGATTCTTTTGCTTTCGCTGGAGCTAAAACCTTCGTTAGTATTAGTTTATGTGGGTCAACTTTCTGAAAATAATGGCAGACAGCCTCCAATACATAAATTTTCCCCACCATGTATATATATTTCGGTGTATTCGGGCGAGGCCACATCAAAGAAACTGGCAACTGCAACGCAACCGAAATTTCTGTGCTCCTTGAAACGACATTTATGTTATGAACTGTTAGGTTATGTAACTAAAAATTTATATCATAATTACGAATACAATATAAATTCATGTGCAACGAACCTTCATTCATGATGTATCCTCACATGGGCATAAGTAATATTACTAACTTCAAATCACACAATAACACAATTAATGCAGTTCCTATCCTCAAATTTGGATAAATTTCAGATCAATAACTCTGTATACGATTGATACAAGAAGGAATGACAACCTTCATATACCTACAACACATTTATCATCCTGTCAGAGAGGGGCGTATTATTCAGGCGTCAAGCTATTTAACATTCTGCCATCAAATGTCTCAGTTTTAAAAAATGATAAAAATCAATTTTGGTTTGTTTTACAAAATTATTTGCAAAGTAACTCGTTTTACTCTATTGACGAATTTGTCGAGCATGCAAGGGACTCAGATGTTAAGAACTAATAAATGGTCTGTGTGCTTGCATTATACGTTGTTGAGACCGGTTGAGACTTGCTTGTTGTAAGTGTGGTAGTATGTATGACGTCTGTATTTGTTATGAATTTTAATATATTAAAATGAAACTATATTACTGATATGGCTGGCTAGTGTGTGTGGAATGGCAAGGTATGAATTTGACAGTGGTTTTTCCACGGCTTATGTATGTTATCTTGATAACTTGTGTCGTCTGCCTCAGGCCTGAGTATATATTTAATTGGGCCAAGGACGTATGGCTTGTAGTTATCATGAATTTGTAATGTGTGACGTTTTATACCCAGCCCTACGGGGAGATGATTGGATCCATGAAGTGAAAATAAATGTAAATATAAATGCAAACAATCAATCCATCATGAACTCATTCTTTACGATCCATTAATAAATACTCCACGGATATAGATCTCAGTGTCGTCATGCCTGAAATCCCTGGAACTATTTCATACACCTTGGCCGGTGATCCGTGCTTGGTGTGGGACGTTAGCGGACATAGCGATCCGTGGTGTGGAAAGAAGGAGCATAGAAAATGGCTGCTCCAGTTAAGAAACGTACAGTAAACGAAAATAGTAATTTCAACGGAAACGATGGAAAATCTGAAAGTAGCGATGAAAGCTCAGAAAACGGCTACATGGAGGAATATATTAATCAAGAGGTTTAACGACATTTGTTTGTACTATTCGGGAAAATATTGTTGAACATTTGATTTAAGTTATTGATGTAATATTGCCGTCACATCAGTACGAAAAAATTTTAATTTATGTGTATGTAAAGTGGAATGTAGGATTTTCATAGGTTCGATAACAATCCAGGATATTTCTGTTAAAGAACGGTGTACTGTCCTAGTCCTCTAGTGTTTAATTCTGTATGTGCCGTTTCGAGGCTCCGTTTATAACTACCCTGCATGATAGGCTTCGGTCACCGCCCATGCCGTTTTTCTAAGCAGCTGCAAAACTAAAGAACAGTGAGATGGATGAGACGTTGGCTGTCGAAGTCTGTAGTTCTTGTCTATGATAACATAATCATGGTTATCTCTATTTTCAACGTCTGAAAATCGAAGATTAAATTAATAATGCAGTACTGTGTCGCTTAGTTTCAGGCACACTGATGTTGAAAGTAGTGCAGAAAGTCATCAGCCATCTCAGTTCCTTTCCCTTGAGGTCTAAGATTAGCTGACATTTCAGTTGTAGTTTCTCGTTACATATCCAATCAGTATTCCTAATTTACAATAGAGTTGTACGTTTTGTAGTATGAGGAACCTTGTGATATAAAAATATGTGATTATCCAGCATTTCATCCTACTGTTTCAGATAATTCAAGTTGACTTTGAAGGAAGAAATCCTGTTGATGCAGACTTCCATGGTATCAAGCAACTCTTACAGCAGTTGTTTCTGAAGGCTCACATTAATCTGTCTGAACTGGCTGATCTCATAATAGGACAGAACTATGTTGGCAGTGTTGTGAAGGTACGCAGTAATAGAGGAGTGCTCTGTAGAGTTGTGTTTGCATGTTTCAATGGGCACTGGCAGGCTCTGTTTGTAGGCATTTACACACTTTCTTGTACTGAATTGTTCCTCCCACCATCAGAACAAGGGGAGTGTAGGGTTGCATAAAGTTCAGCCTGCTGAGCATTAGTGATGGAAGTAACTGAGTTAACTGTTTGAAGCATGGAGCACATCAAAATATCCTGTTAATGATGTTTAGAGAAATGACCACTGTTCTATTGTGTCATGATTTCCTGCTGTACAGTTTGCAAATAATGCATTACATCAGTGATAACATGCATCCAAATCCAAAATATGAAATTGCAGGAAAGAAAAAAAAATACCTGAATTTTGAAATTAGAAGCCTTCTCAGCTCTGTGCTTTGCAGACTGTTATGTCATGTCACAACTGTGGACACAACCAAGTACAACACATAATACAATTGTATTATAATTATTTTTGATAGTATTTTATGTTTGCAGATTTAAGGGGATAACAGAAAACCTACAAGCTGGATCTATGCCATTTAGTGATCTTAAAATTTATGGAAGCAAATTTTATTTTATTGTTGCTGGAAGTATATTACATCACATGGCCAGACTGGCATTCCAACTTGTAATGTCTCTTTTATATTCAGCAAAGTGAGGTGGACTCAGAAGATGGCGATGATGACAGTGATGTGAATGATGTGTTTGGTGTGACGTCCGTTTTGAATATCACCGAGAAGCAGAATCTGGAGTGTGTCCAGCAGCTGCGCAGTCTTCTCCTGGAACTGTGCAGTGAGCACGCCACCGACCAGGCCAACACTCTGATCCGATCTCTGCTATCAGATGATTCTCAGTCTATCGGCCTGCTTATCAATGAGCGTATTGTAAACATTCCTGCACAGATATCAGTGCCACTTCTAGAAAGTCTTAGGTATTTTCTGCTGCTGTTAGTTCTCTTACCTTATAAGTCTCATACCCACCTTACTCCATAGGTCAGAGTTTTCCAGGCTCTGGATCATAAGGTATCTTAGGAAAGAGTGGATGAAGACATGTTCATATTATTCTGATAGAAATATGTAGAAGTATTTAAAAATGATTCTCTTTCGGACATAGCCTCTGTAAAAACAAGTTTTTGGAAATTTGGACACCTGGTTTCCTTGAGGTAATTCAGAATACGGTGAGTCTAGTACTTAACATGATTGTGTAGAATTTCTTCTAGTACAGATTGAGACTGTTCAGTGTGTCAGATATAGCATTGAAGCGTTGCACTGTTCACATGTTTTTAATTGTAGGCACTTTACATGGTCACCATCGTGAGAACCCAAAATGCAGCACGTCATTCAGGATTTGTAACTATGTTGGATGCAAAATGTTCCTGTGGCACTGACAGATCAGATTATCCCATAAGACTGAACTGATTATTATATCATTATCATAGTGTTTTCCCATTCTTATGTTTCAGTAAGATTGGTCGGTGTCAATATGATTACAAACTACATGTTAAAATATTTATTTGTTACTCTGGCAGGATATTTTAATGGATGCTTCTAGTTTAAAATAATGAAAAAAGTTTCTCCAGAGTTCAGTATCTGACTTGTTTGTTGGATATATCTGGTTTTGCTGCTGCCAGGCAAGCCTTCCACGTCTTTTCGTAACACGTGGATGTTGTATACTTCCAGCAAGGAGATTAAAAGAGCTTGCGAAAAGAAGATGCCATACGACTTCACATACTTCATACTGATCTGTAAGCTGTACAGATCAGAAAAACCACAGACAAAGAAGAAGAAAAAGAAGAAGCAGCAGCAGTCTGGTGGAGGTGATGAGCCAGAAGTTGTCTGGTCCAATCTGGAGGAAGAAATTATAAACCAGGTTTGTGGAACATCTCTTGAACGCGTGCTGTGCTGTGCTGTAGTGATGTAGCGCTACAGGATGACTTGTCTACTTCTGCGTGTGGTAAAACTGCAGAAACTACATTGAGTTACCTGTTTACAGCTAACTCCATGCAGTTCTTCTGATAGTTGTTCAGCTGCGCAGGAAATTTTATTTTTTGTTGAGACCCAAATTATCCTAGCACCATCTACAAAAGGACTGAATGTGAACCCCTGTGCATTCTGTTATGGACCTAAGTCCAAAGGAATATTATTGTTACTCGTGTTTCACAGCAGTGAATGTCTGACCATTTGCCAGTCATGTGTGTTAATAATGTTTTGGATAAAAAAAACTGATTTAATTTAGTATGGCAAGTTGACTATATTTATAAAGTAATATTAACAATGTCTGCAAGGAAATGCTTGTGGCTATGGCCACCAGCGAAAAGACGATTCAGCCACTGGCCTATAGGAATGTATCAGTGCAAGACTTGTAAGATCCCAGACAGACAGTTTTAGAAGCACTATCTGTTGTAGTACTCACATGCGAGATCACCCTTCATATATCTGTCACACACTCTCAGGCATAGCTCATATGTGTTTGTGCATACAGGAAGCTGACTGCCAGTTTGAATTCTGTGTGAAAGGCGACTCTGACTCTGGTCTGGTCGGACACTGGATGGAGGACGACGTGGAGATGAGCCCATACAGGCGTGTGCTGCTTCTGAAAGCCAACAAACTGGACCCACTCATCGAGCGAATCAAAACTTCTCTGTCTCAACAGTAGCAATTCCATAATGTCTAGTGGAGAGAAGTTATTCAGCCTACATATGTATAAACTGCTGTACTCAGTTATTGAACTTGTATAATGTATGAAGCCCAACTGGTGCAGTGGTTCAATAATATGTGTCTCTCATATAAGCTGGAAACAATTACACTTAATTTGTAACCAGTAAGTTTCCAGTCTACCTGATGGGTACTTTTTCCCCATCAGAATACTTGATACTTTGAAAATAAACTTATCTGGAGTTAGAGTGTCCGATTGCATTTTGGTGATATGAACACGAGTTTTATTAAACAAGGCCAGACCATCCTATCGCACGCAGGTATTTACACCATAATCTCCACCCTCGTTTATTTCAAACTGCATTTAATTTATGTTATTAACATAATATAAATAAATGTTTTTGTTTAAGCAGACTTTATTTCCCATACATAGAATAAATTATCAAAACTTATTATGCCTTTTCAACTTGTCTTTGGCAACACAGGGTTCAGATCAGTGCTCTACAGCATAACCATCCTTAACATTTGACTGAGGTGCAGTTATGGTGCAGTATAATGATGAAGGCAGGATATTTTCTTGAGTCACGAAAGCAACTGTCATGTAATTGGTGAGGGACCATAACGCAGAGCCCATTTAAAGTAGACAGTCCATACTCTGCACCACATAATTAATGTTTTCTTATTGAGTGTTGTCTTGTAAGATGTGCCAGGATAGCTCACTTGATATAGTGACTGGCTACACGCTGGATGACCAAGGGGCTGGAGTACGAGTCCCAGTAGGGTCAAGAATTTTCTCTTCTCCATGTCATCCAGACTGGCTCTGGGGCCCACCCAGCCTTCTCAGGGGCTCTTTCTCCTGGGGGTAAAGCAGCAGGGGCATCAGTCAAGCTGACCACTCACTTCCAACTAGCCCCAAGGACAAGAAAATGTGGATCTATACATCCACTTCCCCGTACACTTTCACTGCATAGTGCTTAATTACTTGAAGCACTGGGTCAGCTTTACCCTTTACCTTGTAAGTTTTTTTAAGATCTACTTAGATAAGGCAGATTTTGGAATGATTACTTGCAAGTCTACAATTGTGTGAGTGAAAGATATTTATTAACAAGCACAATTATAAAGTGAGCCATCAGTCTGTGTTGCCAAGTTCTTGTGAGAGAAGATTCTGTGTGATCAAGTTCCACCACTACAGCTTGTGTGCAACGTCATAGACTTACGCTGCTCTTCCAGTGGTGCAACCATTTGCATGAAAATGGTTTCCTGGTACTAAGCATCAAATGTAATTAAGTCTTCGCTTCAATGTCCAAGTGTCAAGTGTAACTGATTTCAGACTGGTGTAAGCAGTCGGTTGCACCAGTGGAACAGCAGCCTCACTGTACCAGTGCCACACAACAGTATGAGTTTCTTCTTAGCTACATGTTTTGACTTTGCTCCATCGACCTCATATATGCATTTCTAGCATAAACTGCTCTTACCACAGATGAATCTCAGATATTTATATAGTTCGTAGCTATGACAGAAATAAAATGTATGTCTATTGAGTGTTAAATTACAGTAAATCTGTGACGAGCATTATCCCAACATGATACTATGATATAATAACACTCAAGTGTGTGAGATGAAACACTGTCACAGTCATGAATCATCCATAATGTTGTATTTTAGCGTCCTGTTGCACTGATTTTCATCCATGATATATATACAGTGTCCGTCTTGCAGTGCATCCACTTTACCTGTCGCTTCACAACATGTTTCGGCACATAGTGCCATCATCAGGTGTTCCGTTTACACTAATCTATTGCATTGCATGCCATTATGTCAATGTAAAATTATTTAAAAAGTATTTTAAAATGTTCGTCAGTTATAATAAATTTTTTGTATACTAAAATCTTGTTAAGATATTCATCTTATCTGTCCCAATTCAAAACCCGCGCATGGTTCCTCCACTATGGGAGTCATTCCTCTTATATGCCATGTGTATCTTGTTTCGTGATGCGTGTTCCCCTTTTTTTTTGGCTGCCAAAAAGGGAGCTTGTTTAGAAGCTTAGCTACAATTCACAGGCAGTGCAGTTTTGTACTGTACAAGAGTGTAACATTTTTACTGCTAAATAAGACTGGAACAGAAATGTGTGTGTGTGTACAATTCACAATGTGAATCTTTGTGGCTTATGAAGTTCACTTGCTGTTAGTAGCATTTGATTGTTTCTTTATATACACAAAAATCTCCATTTATGGCCTAAGTAAAGTGGATGTTCTATATGTCAATATGGCTGATAATCGCTGAATTGCCTTACAATTTTTAATGCAAGTCTCTCATAGCAGTTTTTTAAAAAAATTGTCCAACAGTTCAGGTATTGAGAAGTGGACAGAAATGACCATATTAGGCATTCTTTTTTACTTTGTAAAGGGCACTTAAAGACCTGGCTGTGAAATTATCTGGAACTAGACATGACATTAGGTAAACTTAAAATTAGAATAAAAGTGTGTTTATATTGTTGGATGAATATGTCAAGACAGCTCCTGCCACTTTGGATGTCCGTAGGTCAGCTCCTCCGCACATGCTCAAATCTAGATAAGCCTGTAGTGGCACTCCTGTATATATTTTCAGCCATTTCTTTGAAATTAAGTGCCATACCCTTGACATGGGGATAATGCCACTAGATTTACCTCTAGTTGGGAATTTAGTATAGTTTGGAACTGATAATTTTTTAATAAACATGTGACAGAATAATCTGTGTACAGCACTGTGAGTCTATTCATACAGCTTTCTGTGTGTGCCACAAACTGATTTATCAGAGAAATGTTTTACACGTGTCAGAGCTGCAAAATTAATTTAAGAAGGTAAGCAAACCTCACCAAGTTTTGCTGTGTATCATATGGTTTAATGTGCAGTAATGGTAACAGTGCTTTTCTGGTTTATGTGTAAAGCGTGTCTTATGTTTGCTACTGTCATTAATGGTAGAACCAGGAATCTCTTTATGAGGCATATATTACATATCTGAATTGTGATATTCATTTATCTAGTACAGTTGGTACTTGTGGACAAAATAAAAACAGTAAAGAAGTGTTTTGTCTTATCTGATTCTTCCCGTGCTGTGGACACATGAAAATGGGGCTTCTGCTCCCGACATAGTCACAAATGTGAAGTACAATTTTCTGTTTGTCTTCTGATGCTGCTGTAACCTGGTTACCTAGTTCCTTCCATACGGCTTGTGGGAGATACAGTATTTGTTACGCCTTCTAAATATCAGTTTCGAGCTCACTAAATGCTAATATCCCCCCCATCTTCAAATCTTAGCAGTTTTACTTAATGTGTTTTGCTGTAATGTGAAGTGTGTCCTGCTGGTTTTGTAAAGTGGATGGAAGGAAAAAACCACAATAGTTCGAACATGTTCCACAATATGCCAAGGAAAGTTAAGGTTAACTGTATGTGAAACACAGCAGATACTGCCTCTGAATAAGCAGTACAGGTCTGTTACGTGTCTTCACATTGGAATGAGTGTATCACCTTGGCTTAACACTTGAAGAGCAGAGAGGCCGGTTTCAAAACTGGGTGATGCAATTTATTTTGTGGTCTGCATTTGTCCTGCTATGCATTGTAACAGTGTTTCTTTTCTTAATGTTGGACAAGCTGCACCTTATCCATACTTTTCCGAGTGAGAGCTGCAAATTCTCATGCACAGTAACATATGACATCACAGCTATCATAAGCTGACACACAGAACTTCTCCCCTCCAGGGCAGAGAAACTTTCCTCCAGTTAAAAGAGAATCCTGTACTTGAGCTGAAAACTTGTGGTTCACCTGAAAAAAATATTACATATGATACAACTGTTGTTGGAGTCTCTTGCCCTGGGAAGGATGGACTTTATGTGTGTTTAGTTTCACTTTAAACTTATAATGGGATCTGTACTTTATTTTAAAGTGGAATAATGGATTCAACTGTCACACATGAGCCACAGAATGCATGGTTACTGATACTCTCACATGGCCACTGCAAGCAAGTTAGGACAGCACAGATCAAGAGTCACACTGAAGATCTATATGAGCAGAAATTAAGCACAGAAACATACCATAAAACTATGCAGTTATTAATCTGTGGTATCTGCTAGCCTGTGCACTGCAGAATTCAAACAGAACTACAATCATTCTGCCCAGACCCTACTGTTCCCAAATTTCATTAACAGGCCCAAGTGCCCTATGCACATGTGTGAACTGACTCACACAAGTATGAAAACTGACCACTTGTTGAACAATGACTCACCCTTCCATCATCTCTGGATATCTGCCATATTTTGACAAATGAATCCTCTGAGACAGAGAGAAAGTAGCCCGTGTCCAGAGCTATGTCACAAGCCGTGATCCAGCGAGCATGGGCTGCTACCTCACACATAAGACTCAAGGTTTGGGTGCCAAATACACGTATGTGACCAGATCCATATGCACCCAAAATAAAATCTTTCCACATCTTCATGCTTGTGCACGGATATCTGAAACAAATAAGCAGACACATGAAACTGGAGGACATGCTTGGATAAAGCTGTACATTCAAAATCTTGTGCATAATAAACCAACTTAAGTCCAACATAGACCACAGGGAAGATTGATGGCATCAGATTATGCACTTTATTAAAATAATAAAGAAATGAAGAGTGAATTAAGAAACCTCAAGAATAAATAAATTCTGCAGATCACAGTAGAATAAGGGGAAGCTCCTAGCAGAGATCATAAAGACTATTTTCCTACCACAAATACTTTTAATCTTACAGACCTATTATTACTACTATTAGTAATGTTATCATTTTCTTTCCTTCTCTGAAGAAGGTATTTAAGCACAGATTCCATATATTTGTCAGACATAACCTCAAGTTTTACACCACAGCTGAGTTCAGGCACTATCCTGGAATCTGACTGGGACAGGTGATGCAGAGGAAAAAGAATTGGAAACAGCAGCTAGAACAGCCCATCTCTGGGCTGGGATCTCCTGAATATGAAACAGGAGAGGCAATCACCCAACTGTGATATTAGGTTGAAACCATGTAGCATGGGGCTGGAGACAGAGCAATGCACAACTGCAATGAAAGATCTGTCTGGAAGAAGATACATGCTCACTGTTGTTCAGTGCATAAAACATCGAGGTGGAAGGAGACAGGAGAAAACTTTACAACAATAAACATGATGATACTGAGAGTTCTTTATTCTGACCAAGGCTAGACATATATATATATATATGTACTATCAGTTCTTGATGCAGACTGCAGTCAATCAGCATTCCTTACAGTCTTATCAATGTAAGATGATACTTCCTATGATTGCTAGCTTTTTCTGCGTTCTGAACAATATTTTAACCATATACAATTTCTATTTTCCTTTAAAAATCCATGGATTGAAATAATTCAGAAAAATATTGCAGTACTTTGAAGAATTCATTTAAAAATACATATTACAATGATAATTCTGATTTAATGAGTGTAAATGCACAAGCAACAAAGTTTATACAGGAAACAACAACCAGAGAATGATGGTGAGACAGGCAGAGCTCTTTAACAAAAGCAAAAACAAAGTAAGACATACCTCTTCCATCAGCTGAAGTTACCAGAGCAGTCTGGAAAGGCTCGCGATGACATCAGCCACTGAAATGTGTAACAGGACTGTCCTGTAAGCTGTGCTTGTGCAGTCAAAATATTGAAGCTACCAAGTACAGTGGTGTCATGTGAACAAGTCAAGGAAACTTCAACATCTATGTGCAGTCTTGCTAATATTCTCGAGTGCTACATTATTTCAAACAGTAGCAAACTTACACTCTGGACATGAAGATGAAACCAAAGTCTGCATCTAGCCCTAGCTACGAAAAGAATGTAAACTTTCATGTTCGTGACTGCTTACCCAAAAGTAGGAAATGTATTTACAGGTTCCAGCTGATGTTCCATTCTCCACAGACAGAGGGCTCCAGCATCATCTGCTGTGGCCACAAGATGGCCACCCACTGAAGTAGCAATGTCTGTAATGGCCTTCTCGTGAACCCGTTTGTGCTCGACTTGAACCACTTCATTAAAGTCTTCGGTAATGTGAAAGATATGAATGGTCCCACTGCTATTACCTGCAAACATTACATTATCTTAAAAATGAATCTTGCTTATTTGGGTATGTGCAGTAAAGCCAAAAAGATTTCAGAGTTTTTCAACCAAAGCAGACAATGTGATATGTCTTCAAGTCTTCATGTCCAAGCATGCAAGAATATAGAAGTTGAGGGCAGATTGTTCTGATGTGCACACTCACTGTACTGACAGTGTCATTACAAAATGAAGTCAAAAGCAAAAGCATGGTTTTATTTATGCCTGCTTTAACAAAATTTCATTCTTAAAATTATTTTTCAATACCTTCTGCAGTTAAATGCAGTTTCATTTCACATATTAGCAAAAGCCAAAATAAAGGATTTCACATTCAAGACATAATCACAACTGGCTAGTCACAATTTCAATTTCTACCACGGAAAATCACGTATTACTTGTCGTCATATCTTCACTCACTCACTCACTCATGGAGCTGAGCCCTTCTTGAGAAGCTGCCAATGTTTCCTAAGTCAAGTGTACACTATGAAATGTCATGACCATGGAACTAACCAATGCATAACATGTCGGGTCCAACGACAGCCAACCCACGAGCGAAGCAGCCGCCTACATCAGGCACATCCATACAAGGATGTGAGAACTTGCATACTCGGCCATCTTCATCAAATATTTGCACACCCAAGGATGAAGCAACCACAAACAGTGCCTGTTGTCTAATGATGCACCACATCACCTGAATTGCAAGATTTCCTCAAGGTTAATAATACTGAAATGACTGACTACAAAAGAAAGATAGAGTAAAACCAAAGATGTAAATTATGGAGAGGGTTTGTGAGCTTCAGGGAGTCAATTTGATTGTTCTCCTAATAAAACAGTCAACTGCTTAAATACCATGAAGAAATTAGATGTGAGGGAGAGAGAGAAGACAACACATTGCATTTTACTTATGTATGGTTTGTCAGTAGTTAAGACTATACAATATCAAATGAATTGGAAAGGATGTGACAGAAAACAGCACTGGCCAAATTTGAGACACAAGGCTATTTTCCTGGAGGGACTGAAGAAAACCACAAAATACACCTCAGTGAGGATAGCCAGTCTCTGAACTGAGATTTGAATTTGGGACCTTGGAAATATGGAAAAGGAATGCTAACTACTCGATTGTGATGTTCAGTTCATGCATTTTTCACTCCGGTACATGCAGAGTGTGAATGAACAGTCCACAGAATGAGAACCCTAGTGTCCAGTGGATACAGGAGAAATCTCACTGTAATGCCAAAAAGAGGCAGAACGTAAATCCTGGTCACACAGTTCACAGGCAATCATCTTAATATGACAGGTCAGATATGAGTACAAATCACAAGAATGATCTGATATGAAAATTCCTGCAGTCTGGTGAATACTGGCTAAACCACAGCCCACCAACACCACAAGCCGTAAGCAAGGAGACAAAGTCATGCAATCGCTGTGTGCAGCTGCCACTAGACACACTGACCGTGACCATGTAGCCATCTGCAGCATCTGAGAATTCATGAGTGAAATCTGGAAACAAATGTAATTATTGTCTTTCTGGACATTATCCGTTGTCCTGTTTTTATTTAAAACACACAACGTTTCGCAGACTGGCTTCTGTCTCGCTGTGTGTTTTAAATACAAAAGGGCCATGGATAATGACTGGAAACACAATAATTGCATTAATATACCAGTGTCACAAAAATGAAAGATCCTGGTAACCAAATAAACATGGCACATTAAATCTGCCAAGGCACTATAAATATTTTATTAGTTTCACAGACAGTTCAAGTGACAAGACATCTCAACTCCTGACCAAGCTCCATATCCCATGAATGCAAGGCACTGGAAGTTTCAGCTCACCTGTGTCACAGAAGTACTGACATGTCTCGGCCGTGTGCCACTCTCAACACATGGAATGTACCTGGGTCTTACTTCTGAGCTATAAACTGGAATAACATTTATATATCCTTCATGAATAACAGCAACTGTAAAAGCTGCCTTTGTCTGTGGGACAAACTGGACAGACAAGTTATTTCCAATAGCTGAAGCGCTGGTCACAAGAGTCAAAGTTTTGTTTCTTTTATACATCTGCTCCTGAAACAAATTAAGTTTAATTACCGGTCAGTCTCAAGAAACGGTGTTAAAACGGAATAACTGTACATCATAGAACCGTGCTGAACATTATAATACTAAGAGACTCATGCAGGAAGAATGGAGGAGGTAGTGGTCAAATTTTCACTCTTTTTGTTCACAGCTGAACATTTTCCTGACATATAGTTCAAGCAGTTAGTTGCTGGCTTCCCACCACGGTGGCCTGGGTTCAAGCCTGGGTCTGGTCATGTAGGATGTGTGGTGCACAAAGTGGCACTGGGGCAGGTTTTCTCTGAGTACTTCAGTTCCCCTGCAAATATTCATTCCACCAATTGCTCCACAATCACCCTCACCTATCATCTGGGGCTGATACAATAGGCCAGAAGTGGCTGCAGTACAAGGGACTTAGTCCCACCCCACTAACAATAAAAAAAATACTGTCTATATCAGGACATGATGCTAATTACCAAGTAGGCATACTTCCATGGTAATCTGCAGCTTGTTCCAAAATATAAAATAACCTATGTAAGATTTGAGGTTTTCACAGCGATGACTATGAAGAATGCCGTCTTGTGGATGTTGCGTTGTGTATATCTTGTGTGAACCAACGTTTCAGAGGAACATATCACCTCCATCTTCAGGCTGCAAGCTGCAGCCACCTGCTCACACTAGTTCCTTGCTCACAGATTTTTCTACCCAGAAGATGGAGGTGATACATTCCACTGAAAAAACGGTTCACACAAGATCTACATGGCGTCACATCCAAGAAAATGGCATTCTTCATAATAAACGTAACTTTAAAAGATAAATGTCCTGTCACCTATTCTGTTCAGCCAAACACATAACACATTTGTGCAGCAGCAACTGTACAAATTAATGCAATTTAAGCTTCTCCTCTAAGTAAGCTATTCTGTTAAAGAACCCATATTTTTTCTATACAGACTTTGAATTATGTGATATTCAAATTCATCTGCAGGCTAAGTTGTTTATTTACATCCCATAGCTCTTTCATATGCATAAACTATGAAAGCAGAATGTCATAATACAAAAACAAATAGACTTATCAACTATTTGAATACTTACAGACATCTCTTATAATAAGAAACTGCATAAAAACAATTTATTTGGAAGAACTACCTCATTATTAGTTACATGTATTTGTAATTCATGAATTTTGATTATAGTAAATTCTTATACAGCGTAGCAGTGAAATGAGAGGTACCATTTCAATGCTTGCTTAAACGGGTTTTATCGTGATTCAAGCATTTGATTTTGGGGGAAATTACTGAATAACTTAATTCCAGTAGAGTACTTCGTGTAATTTAAAAAGGTTGGTGGCTGCACGTGAAGGTTACTTCTGCATTTTGTACGAATACTGCAACTGAATTTGTCTGGAAATTTTCCATACTGTCCACAACAAATAAATAAATAATAAAAATAATGAAATTAAGAATTCGACAGCTTGCGAAAAAATACTAAATTTCTCCGGTCCTTTGGAAAGCAAGTAAAATAAATATTCTGAACGACCGTAACACACATTTCCTAACCTATTCCACCTGCAATTTCGACATGAATTAATTTCTTAATTTGGGTTATTAGCAACTACGTTTAATGTTTTCCCTTTTCATAGGTTCAGTAAAAATTTGAATTCAAAGTCTACAATCCAACACACCTCATTAAATTCTCTCCGAAGTCGAAGCAATAAATATATCTGAAACAATCTCCATAATTTTAAACACCTAGCCCAGAGGGTCCAGAGAGAATACGCAACAAGTGAGTAAACATTACAGCACAATTTTTACCGATTAGTTAAGTGCAGAAATTCCCCGTGTTGTATGGAAGTCGAAGGTACTTTATTTGGTGCTGTGTTCACATAAGCACTTCGCAGGACCGATCAAGTAAAGTAAACTAAACACCATGTCCTCAAGATCCGTTTTAATAAGATAGGCATGACATTCTTCTCCACAACGTCCTGACCGGTTCTGAGGCCCTCCTATCCAGTGGATTATAGGGTAAGAAAGGTGGAGCCATACCTCCGTGCCTTAATACTTCTTCATGACCTGGTACTTGATTAACCCCGGAAAAAAACTGCCTTTTATGGAACCAAACAATCTGTGAGGGTAGCTGTACCTCGAATCTAGAACCTCAGAAGCAATAAATGTGCAATGAAAGTTATAGCAGGATGACTTTTGTTCCCACCTACAAATGTGCTTTGACAATAACTATTTTGTATTCTCCTTAGTAGCATCATGATTGAAACATTTGCGCAGTGCATGACACTGTATTTAAACTTTTCCACTGAAATGTCCCACTGGAAAATAGCATATAAAATTGTGGATGATTTACAGAAAGAAATACTTGGGAGACCTACACATAGACAGACAATATTGAGATGGATCTTAAGAAACTGGGATACAATGAGTTGGAAGGGATTCATGTGGCTTCAGAATGGACAAAATATCATGTTCTTGTGAACACAAGAATTAATTAAGTGCATGATGACATATTTCTTTGCCTGCTCTATGGATCAAATGTAGATAACATATGAACCTGTAAATACCTCCCTAATGGTCTTGTACCCAATTTCCTTACATATTTTCTAATCCCACAAATACCTGATTAACAGAAAACTTGGGACCTGTTCACTTTTGTCTTCAGAGAAACACACAGTCTCAAGTAAACACGTATGTACACATACAAACACAAGGCCACAGCCTCCATACATGTACATAAGAACAATAATGATCCAATTTCATTGCAGGCTATTGTGCAAGATACAAACATACACAAAATTATTTATTTTCAAGGTGCTATACAGTTCAATCCTATCAAAATTTGATACATAATGTTTCTAAGGTAGAGGAAGATTTTAACGATGTGAATTACTCGTTGTCCACTCCTTGTCCACTATCAGGCATTTCTTTGTCATGCACACGAGAATGATGTCTCTTAAGATTGCCAAGTTCTGTGAAGCTTCGTTCACATACGCCACATTCATATGGTTTCTCGCCTGTATGAATACGATAATGACGCCTCAGTTTCTCTCGGACTGGAAACTTCTTGTTACACACATCACAATTGTATGGTTTCTCCCCGGTGTGTATAAGTTTGTGTGCATTCAGATGTCCACCTTGGGAGAAACTTCTATTGCAAACCTCACAAGTGTAAGGTTTTTTACCTGTATGAATAAAACTGTGTATCACTAGATTTTCCTTTTGTGAAAAATGTTTATTGCACACTTCACACTTGTAAATCTTCACTCCTGTATGTGTGCGGTAATGTTTCTTCAAATGATCATTTCTTGAGAAGTCTTTACCACAGATATTGCACTTGTACTGTTTAATTTCTGTATGTGTAGTACGATGCCTGTGGAGACTTGCGCTACGTGAGAACTTTGCATTACACACGCTGCACTCAAAAGGCTTCTCACCGGTATGGATACGATAATGATTCTTGAGAATTTTACGTATTGAAAACTTCTTATTGCATACATCACAAACAAATGTCTTCTTGGCTGTATGACTGCGATAATGGTGCTTATAAGAGCCTTTGCTCGAGTATGTCTTGTTACAGATATCACAACTGTATGGTTTCTCTTCTGTACGCGAACTAATACAATCTGTAAAGTAAGAGTTTTCTGGAAACTGTTTACTGCTCACTGTACTTAAAGGGTCAACCAAATTCACAGTTTGAACATTATTTTCTACTTTTCCATCAAGTTGTACATGTAGAAATGTGCTGACCAAGCCACTGTCCTCTCTGGAGACATCAGACTCTTCGTCAGATTTCGGCCGACCAAGGACGGAGCCCTGTGAAGCAGTCAACTGCTGTGCACTGTGACAGAAAACAAACATCGCTTTTAAAGCATGCACATAGCCAGTTGCAACCAAATTAATATGCAGTTTGACAAACACTAACCTCTCTACACATTCCTCATGCTCCTCTACTGAGACCTCATCTTTCAGTTCTTCCTTTATAACAGTTCCATCCCAACAGTCATCCTGCAACACATTACACTGATTATCTGTATATGTGCAGGCACAAGCAGTTCTGGGACGAACTTGTGGAAACCCTAATTTCATACTGCAGAGGCATCCAATTCTACCAACTTGGGTGTTTTTCTTTTGTGGGTTACTTAAGGGGATAGAGAAAACTATGAAATATCTCAGCCAGGTTATCCAGTGCCCCAGCAAAGATTTGAACTGAGTACGTCCCAAATTGAAGTCAATCCGTTCAGTACTTACGTTGTTAATGTCACACTTGGGTAATATAAATTTATAATCTAACAACAAAATGCAATTTAACTCATGGTGAGCATATTACCCTTGGGTACAGATGATCATATAATCAAATATAATAAAGATAGATTTTTTTCTTTCTTGTGATTGTAATTATATTACAAAATCTATCTTCACTGTCACTGTCGTCGGAGTATCAGCATTTTATTTTTGGAAGAATTTATTGCTTAGTATAGATTCTGTCAACATTAAATTTTTCAGACTTAACCTCAAAATTTAACACTCTCTCAATATCTGCAACTGTTAATTTATATAGGTAATTAATTAAGCACCATGCCATGTGAAGGTGTATTGGGGAGACAGAACTACAGCTCCACACACTCTTAACCTTGGCACTAGATAGAAGTGAGTGGTTGGCTGTATGACCAAGCTACTTCACTCCCTGTGAAAGAGTCTCCGGTACTCACTGGACAAAGGGTGGCTAAGCTGAGAGATTTGGTGTGGATGCTGTGAAGAAGAGAGAAATCTCTTCTCCTTGCCAGGTACTGAACCCCCAATTCCTCGACTGTCCAGCACACAGCTCATCTTTATGTGGACTGAGCTGTCCCAGCTCCACATCTGCACATATGTTTCTGATCTGTCTCTGTGCCTTGCTACGTATGCCTGACTCCACCAGTTCAATAGCTATTGCCAATGCACTGAAAGCTATATTACAGAAACCCAAAATGCTTCTGTTTTATTTCTTGCATGGGAGTCTTTCTAGGCAAAACTGTGGACTGATGGGTGAAAGCTACACTGTAGCATGAAGGCACATTCAACTAGGCTTTATTGTAATGGCCATGGATTAGTAAGTACTGCATAAGGGAGGATAACGGGTAGTGCTATTAGGGGCGGCTTGAAGAGCTATCACATAACAGCTGAACTTATGCACATCACATATGTCTTTGAATAACTTTATAAAAACATGAACTTTCTTTGAAATGTCTGCCAGTTTGATGAGAATTCCAGATGGTTGGATACTGGATAACTGGGAGTTTACTGAACACTCTTCATGCAGGTCTGAGGCTTCCAATAAAGCTGGCCATACCATGCTGAAACTTTGGAGACAAGACATAACCATCATCCTTACTTCTAAGTATACATGAGGCCTACTTTGCAGTAAGACAAAAGATAAGAGATATTACTTACATAGGCTTCAGTCTTCACTATACAAAACGGTTGTGGTGCAGGGTCATCTTCATGTTTTATGTTATTGACCTGTTCTCCTTCACTGTGTGAAGACAGAGAGTGGCGATCAAGTTCCTCTTTAATCACATCCATCTTCGGCTGAAAATTGTCACACATGTCATGTATACCATTAGAATTATAAATGACATCATTATGATCAAGAAGGAGTAAGAATATGATAGCAATCAGGTGCTCATCACGTTATTGCTGCAACGAACTCCTCAGAGCAAAGTCCTTCAGGACAGTCAAGAAATTCTCTGACTTGCGTGGAACTTGAAAGTCCATTACTGCATTCACAAGGACCATCCCCAAGTCAGATGACCCAAATCCACAACCTCACATTCTATGTCTATAAAGATTCATTTTAATATTATCCTCCCATGTGTTAAAATTAAATGTAAATATTGCAATCTATGTACATTTGCAATAACAAAAAGAAATTAGCTCTTCGTGTAACAGGCAACAGAGGTCCACAGGGTTGTGAGATGTCAAGGCTCCCCCATTTTCTAGACAATCCGCTCACAGATGGCAGTGAGGCTGTGAGCCTTACACGCTGGCCACCCTTTACCCCCAGGAAGATTCCAGGTACACATTTCTATGAGGCTGAGTCAACCCAAGGACCACAGCAATGCACAGTTCAGAGGGGCAGAGGTTTAGGAAGGTTTATGAATTATACATGACTTAAGTATGGCCCTATATTAGCTTGTTTATTTCCCCTGAGAACCTTAAACTCGATGCATTATGATACACAACATCCTGCAACAAAACTTAATCATAGTACAAAAGAAAACTGAAAGAAAAATGTAGGTTATCATTGATCATTATATACTATAATAATAATAATAATAATAATAATAATAATAGAGTGAACACAATCAAAATAGTATCATTTAAAGATATAATGTTGGTATCAGTGCAACATTACTATCAGCTGAAAATGAACATCACTCTCTGCAAAGTATGTATACTACAATGCTAAACACACAGTCCGAATGTTCAAATTTGAGTTGCGTTGTTCTCACCACGCTAAAGGTGAGATAGCAATGCTCACCAGTGGTGTATATGGAACTGGGAAAACTTGTTTCGATCTTTTTTTACAGAACAAAAACACTGGGATAAGGGTGCACAAAACATATATGAATTGTTATGTTATGTCCTTGGCTGTGCTTATATATACTTGCTGCAATTTGTATTGCCTTTTAACTATTGTAAATGTTTTTGACAAGTATGGATTATATATGCTAGTGATTTTATTTGTGAATGTATAAGTGTTCAATGTTTTGTTTGTTTGTTGAGATGTTTTATATTCGGGGCCGGTGGCACATTTATGAATATTTTTAAATGCAAACGTATATGTATGTATGTATGTATGTATTAGCCCAAAAAATCATGCATGAATGTGACATATTTGTTGTGCCAGGCACAACAATTAGTTAGTGCATGATAATCTGTGTGATGAGGGCTTCAAATGGTTGGCAGAACACTGCTCTGTGGCCTTTGTGAATCAGCCACAGGATGCCATACTAAGCCCACGTTAAAGATAACATGCATATAATGAACTGTAATACTTAAATATTTGATTAATTACCGTTTTCTTTATCACTGATTGCACTGGAGAGAATTGCTGCATATCACTTTGTTAGGTTTTGTTATTTTTGTAATAGTTGGCACCTGACTGTATGTGACATGCAGGTAAGATACTGGGGAAGAAGATACTAGATAGTCCTGAAAGGGTGATGGGAAAGGCCACTTTACCTGTTTTTTTCCCTCCTCCAACTTACAGATTTCAATTGCATTTGAACATGGTTCATTTCTGGTGCTAATTTCATAGTGGAACTTACTCTACCCTATCACACACTTTGATTAGGGTTACAGTTCTGGAAATATGTTTCAGGACAAATAGGCGCTATTCCATATTTTACCTGAAATCTGAGAACTGAATGTCACTTTCCCACACAATGTACCTTTCTGAATTAGTTATGTTGAAATAATTACGTACAAAGTCTACTGGTTCACTAGCCATCTCCTCCAAACCCTACCACAAAACATCACTGCTTATACAGCATGAACCTGTTACCTCTGCTACTTAAGTCTTCAAACATATAACAAATTACAAGCACACAGTACATTTTGACTCTTCCCTTTGTAGAAACAATTATAACATCTCAAGCCTTGCTTAGGGCAGGGATCAGGGATCAGGGATTAACATAAACACAAAACGCCAGGCAGTCTGATGTGAGCTCGTCTTGAACTAAAAGCACTTACGTTCATAGTTCACGTCACACATCCACGGATGTGAATCGCGGTATTATCCATATCAAAGGGACTATTTCCAAATCCTAGGTTTTTTACCTATATGGATATATGGAAAATAAAGGAAATGAATGAATGAAATCTCATGGTTACGTAACAACTAGGTCAGAGTCGGAGAAACGGAGAAAATGGGAAAACTAAGGAACTTAGTACATAACTTTAACCAACACGTCAATTATACTGAACACCATCGACTCATTGGACATCGGAATATAGGTGGCTCTACTTGTTTTTCAGTACTCTAATATTGATTTACTGAGTTCCGTCTATGTAAAATCTGTGGAACACCATCATATGTGGGGAAATTTGGCGCAATTTTGGCAGTTGTTCAGAATTTCAGAATCGTTCAGAATACATTAATATAAAAATTTTATAGGAAATTCTGTGTTTATTCTCAGATTTATAGTTTCGACAGAAATACGTGTGCAATAAGTGGTGGAATCGGCGATATTTCAGGTTTCATGAAGCACTGAAGTACGCAATAGAGACCCAATGACGAAATATTAGGTTTAAAGTCAAGTTTTGTATTTGAGTTTAACTACCTTATGTTCTAAGTTACTCTACACGCATGATTTCGTTTGTGTAACTGGTATAAGTAATCTTTATCCTGTTGTGTGTCATGTATCCTATGGTATAAATATTTCATTTCATTTTATTTTCCATATATATCCATACAGGATAACAAACCAGGATGTGGAAATGGTCCTTTTGAATACAGATACATCAACATGCATATACAAAATTGCACGAGTCAATCAAACAAAGTCACTTACATCAATCTATAAATATAAATAATATAAGATAAAATAATTTAATAAGATTTCGGTTAATAAACATACTTTAAAAATAACTTACTATAAAACTTGTATTTACACCATTTCATATAAATTACCTATATTAACTAAATCAAATACAGTTACAAAATCACACACCTATGACCCATTATGTTTATAATATCATCATATTTAACTCCCATTGATCCATACAGTATATGCTTCAAAACACATTTAAAACTATTAAAATTCTAATTTCTATATTCACATTCATTAATCCAATGCAGTAGTTGCTCCTAATGTCTTAAATAGGACTGCTGCAGATTTCTAGACTGAAAGTATATTACAGTTGTTAAGCTATAATACGTTGTTGATAGTATTCTTTCACAGAGTAAAAAGAGTGATGAAGTAAAAATCTCTTCAGTGCTCTCTTAAAATTTATCATGTCAGAAGTCAACCCTTTTAAAGCTTGAGGTAAATGATTAAAGGCTTTAGTACCTGCTATATATGCACCCTTACTGTATTTTGTTAAGTTTACAGAAGGTAAATAGAGATTATTGGGGTAGAGTAGTGGTTAAGGTACTATGCTACAAGCTGGAAGGTCGCGGGTTCAAGTCCTGATGAGGTCATTGGATTTTTTCAATTGACCTAATCCTTCCGGCCACACTAGCCCCTGGGGTTTACTCAGCCTCTAACAGAAATGAGTACCAGGAATTAATTAAATGATTTTCCTGGGGAGTGAAGCGTGGCCAGTGCTAAGGCTGACAACCTTACCACCATCTTTGAGCCGATTGTCAAGGTAATGTGGGACCCTTAACGTCTCACAACCCTATGGGATAGCTTTACTTTTACTTTAAATAGAGATTATTAAGAGATCTGGTTTTATACTTGTGAATCTCATTAATAAAATTGAAAAGATGGTTATTATTAATCATAAATAAAATTAATGAGTATATGAATTGAGAATAGAATGTCATTAGTTCAAGCTTCTCAAATAAATGTCTACAAGACACTCTTGAACCAGAATTCGTGATAATTTTAATAGCCTTCTTTTGTAGTATAAAAACATTGCCAGCACAGGAAGTGCCACCCCAAAAAATTATGCCATAGCTTAAGATCGAATGTATATGGGCAAAATAAATTGACTTTAATGAATCTAATGGAATAAAATGCTTTATATTTCTCAATGCATAACATGACCTTGAAATTTTATTGATAACATAGTTTATGTGTTGTTTCCATGTGAGGGTATCATCAATGATTAAACCTAAAAATTTTGTTTCTGATGCCTTGATTAATTTAATTTGATTATCTACAATTTTGGAAGTAATGTTATAATAATTCATGGAACGAAATTCAACATATTCAGATTTGTTAAAATTCAAAGTGAGCAAATTAGCATTAAACCATGCATCAATGTCTGTAAGAGTCTGATTAAGATTAGTTTAAAAATCTAGCTTGTTTGTGTCAGTTACTATAATACGCGTGTCATCTGCAAAATGTGCTATATTATTGTTTTTGTTGTTTATTGAAGGTAAGTCATTGATATAAAGTAGGAAAAAAGCAGGCCAAGGATTGATCCTTGAGGAACACCACACTTAATTACTTCCCATTCAGAAGAGCTTCTGCAGTCAAATCTGTTACCTATTACAACTTTTTGATATCTATCCGTTAGATAAGATTCTATAAGTGTTTTAAATTTTCCTTCTATTCCATAAAATATTAACTTGCCCAATAATATTTTGTGATTGACACAGTCAAACGCTTTCTGAAGCTCACAATATATACCTCCTACCATTAACTTATTATTCATAGCGTGTAGGATGCTATCTATCAATGAAAAGGCCGCCTGCTCAGTCAAAGAATGAGACCTGAAACCATATTGTTCTTGGGCCAACATATTATTTGTCTCGATATGCTTAATGAGTCTTGCATACATAAGTTTCTCGATCATCTTAGAAAATGCAGTTAGCAGTGATATAGGTCTGTAGTTAGCGATGTTTTGAGTTTCCCCTTTTTTTAAATAGCGGTCTGATTATAGCAAAATTCAATCTATCAGGGAAAACACCAGTACTAAGAATTGCATTACAAATGTAAGTCAACGGGGAAATTATAAATGGAAGGCTTACTTTTATAACTGTTAGAAATTTCATCGTATCCACTCGAGTTTGTCTTTAATGATTTAATAATTCTTGTGATTTCCTGAGTGGAAGCATATTGCCATTTCATCTTGGGGAAAGGTCCGCTAAATGAGTTTACTAAGTGATATATTGGAGTGGGTAGTTCTTGATTTGAATATACAGTGCGTACAATCAAGTGCGCGCCGCGGCTGCAATTTGCCGTGAGTCATACCACCGCAGAACGGATGCAACTCCTCCCCGCGACTGCAGTGCCGTTCCCCGATAGCGTGAGTGTAGTGGTGTCGCTGAGTCTCCGTCCATCAGTTGCTCTACATGCACACATTTATAAGAATACAGTAAAAAGATAACTTACCGTGGTTTATAACAGGTGCTGAAAGTGACCTCCTTCTGCTTGCAAACATGCCGCGCATCTCACAAATAAATTACGCGACACTCTCTGCAGTTCGTCGACGGTAATTGAATGAATTACGCGTGTAATTTCATTTTGAAGACTATCAATGCTGCGGGGATTATTTTTGTAGACTTTTTGCTTCAGGTTGCCCCAAAGATAATAATCAGAAATACTGAGATCTGGGGATCTGGGAGGCCACAGTCCTCTACTGACAATTCTGTCTTCAAA